AATTCAAAAGAAAGGTTTGAGGTTGGCCAGGAAAGAAAAGGAATGATCACCGTATCATATCTATTGTTTGCAAATGATACTTCTAACCCCTATGAATCATAGGGTAGATTACTGCCGTACTTATTTAGTAGCATGTTTAAAGTTGTGCCGAGGCTGCGAATACATACATAAGGCCAAACTGGTACCAGCTGGGGTTGCGCAAGAATCCATACTTTGACACTAACCATGAGTGAATCAGGAAAGTGGTCCCAGTATTGAGTATTGACTACGTATTTGGGACTTCCTCTATGAAGGAAATTCAAGGACAAAGAACTCTAACAGCATGTCATAGAAAAATTCTCTAGAAAAGACTTAATAGTTGGAATAACTATATTTGCCTAAGGGAGGAAAGTTGAAGATATTTTTATAAGTTACCCACATAGTATGTGGCTATATTTTACCCCATCCACTATAGTTGATAGATTGGAGATACTTTTTAGTGGGAACTAAAAGACGAGAAGAAATCACATTTGGTAGAGTGGGGAAAAAAGGCTTAATAGGCAAATAGAGTTTTGTATTTGCATGGATTTTTGTGCTTGACCCCCCAACTCCACAGGTTTTCATCTAGACATCTGAAACTGTTCAAAACCAATGTTTTAAACACCTCTGACTCTATGTTCTCTTAATTGTGTTGATGTGAATACATGTCAGTATCTACCTAAAACTACTTTGCGTATTTCTTAATCGCGTTGACGTGAATACACGTCGGTATCTACATCAGATACACCAGGCCACATCACCATTTATTTTCAAAAAGCTACTTTAAAAAAAAAAAAAATCCCAAATCCATCCCAGTTCTCTTTCTAACCACAAAGTTTTCCGACCATCTTCTCCTTGAAAAATTCCTCCAGTAATCTTTTCCCTCATAAGAATCTAATTCACTCTGACGCTCATTCCTAATAGAAAACTGACCACCAACAAAATCCATAGCTCCACCATTTTTCAGCATTGGTCATAGTTCAACACAGTGTTATCAAAGGGGAAATGTGCAAAAAAGCTCTAAGGTCCGTTGGGGCTTTAAGCGCAAATCGCGAATAAAGTGTGGGTTTTAATGAAAAAAGGTGCAACTGGAGAAAAAGTAAAAATATGTATATGCAGTCCAAGACTAATAATTATAAGCATGAATAACAAATATATAGACAGAGAAATTGAAAAAACAAATTACGATAAAGTGAAATATCAATTGTTTAATGTCGCCTTTTCAGGATTACATTCATTGGCAAGGAAAAGTATGCCTTAGAGCCTTGATATAACACTAAAGCGTCTACAAAGCGAGGCGAAGCGCTCAACATGTTTTGAGCCTCGCTTCCGGGCTTAAGCGCGCCTTTGACAACACTGGTTCAACACAACCACCATCTCTCCATCTTAAATCTTCACCATCCCCTTCCTCTTCATTAAGAACACACACCACCTACACCACAAACAATTGCATGTCATTCCCTCAAACTCAATAGAGTTGAATCCCACCTACATCCACGGATTATAGGGATTAATTAGAAACATTCGTGCTCAGTGCCACAAAAGCACTATCAACGGTCAAAGGTGTTTAACACACTGTTTTTGAATATTTAAGAAGTTTGGATGATAATCTGTGGAGTTGGAGGGTTGGTACAGAATTTCGTGCAAGAATGGATGTCTATTTGCCTATTATGCCAACAAAAAGAATGACCCTTACTTTGGAGGGAGTTAGGATCTCAAGATTGCGCCCCATATGTGACACTATGAAAATAATAGTGCATATTTACTCTAGACTTATATGGACTCAACATCTCATAGCAGTGTTATTAAAAGCCATTGCTTCGTAGATTAAAGCAATGAAGCAATGTGGAGCAAGGGATTGTCACTTCATAGGTGAAGCCATAAAGCTTCGTAGAAGTGCGGAATCAAACGATGACATGCAAATTGATCCCAACAAAAAAGTGGCCAGTTCTTTTAATATCAATTTTGAGGAGTTGGACTAATATAATCATTATTGTATATTGGAAACTTTTTTGGATCGGTAGAGGAATCGCAATTTGATTATTACACTTTAAATCATATGTTTGGTATTTTTAATGTTGTGAATTGTGCGATGCACTTCAAAGAAGCATGCGCTTCCCTTCCCGCCTTTCGCTTCAAGACACATGGATATTTGTCATTTGTTTACGTTTTTCCCTTTAAAAACATTGTACAAAGATTCCTTTTATAAAGGAGGTAACAAGGAAGAACAATGAAGGCCACAATAGAAAAGTGAGCCGGAAATTGCATTGACATCAAATATAGGAAAAGATATAATTATAAAAAAGATATCATCTGTGATCCGAGTTGTGGAAGCAGCCAATAATGCTTGCATTAGGGTAGGGCGGGCTACTTCCCCGAACCGCGTGAATCAGGGTTGTAAATAGCGCTCGCCTTAGCGCTAATAGCGTGAGGCGTAGCGATGCGAGCCTCCATCGCTTTTCTGCTGTGTTGCGTTTTACAAATAGCGCTCGCTTCTGCCTGTGTAGCGAGAGGCGACAATGTAGCGAGATGTGACTGTAGCGTCGCTTTAAAAAAAAAAAGAGCAGTGATTAAAGAAAACGACTCGCGATTAGGGCTTTGAGCTTTCAGACATTTCTTTCTTCTTCACGCTTCAAACAACAAAACAGCCACATCGATTTCTTTCTCCAGCCATAGCCACAGTGGTCGACCTAGCCACATCTCGAGATTCTGCCATTTTCCTCTTCATCCAAGTCGACCCAGGTATGCTTCTCTTCTTCTTCGAGTTTCCTTTTTTTTTTTTTC